GGGGTGGGGCGGGATGGGGTAGCCATGGGAGCTTCTCCCACAGCTCCCCCCACCCAAGGAGAGGCAGGCACAGCTGGAGGAGCTGCGGGAGAATCTGCAGCCACCTAGCTGTGCCTGCTTCTCCCTGGCCGATCCAAATCTCCGAATCAGCACTGAATCAGTGCCAAGTCTCCGATTCTGATTCGACCGAATCGAATGAGGACAGTGATTCGCATCACCAAATTGAATCACTGTCCTCCGAATCGGCCATATCCAAATCTGAATCTGAATTAAATACTCCCCTATTCACATAGGCTTAGTAAATGTCTTTTTGCTTCCGTTTCAATTTAATCTGTGTAGCTAGACTAACCTGCAAAGACTGAATTGATTCAGCTTCAGGCTTTTTGACTGCCTGTACCTAGCCCAGGAAGCTATCTATATCATAACTTTATCTTCACAAAAAACAAACAAACAAGCTCCCATCATACATTTGGTCTCTCGGCTTATGCTTATTTCTTTGATAGATGATACCCATGTAAAGACACAGCTAGGATTTGTATGTCTATAAAACAAAGCAAAGGTGAGATTGTAGCACATGGCTGCAATGTTTGTGCTAGCTAGCACAAATAACAATGGCAGTGAAGATGAGGTGGCACAGACCTTAATACAGGCTAGCAACCAGAATGGTCCCTTGAAAATATGCACTGTGGTTGTGCACATAAAAATACCCATCCTACCATGTCTTCAGCACTATTGTTATCCATACTAGCTAAATTAAACTAGCATATGCTACAATCACCCTATTTTTTCTGTGGAGACATACACCAATGTAGTAAATATAGAACCAGTACTGTAATTTTAAATGTCTAAGGGTATGGATAAGGATCTCATGGGATTTACAAAGACACCTAGGTGTCTTAGGTGCTTACTTCCTGTTGAAATCAAAAAGGAGTTAGGTGAGTACCCTGGGTAAACACATTCAAAAATTCCCATGAGAAACTTCTCTGTATCTTTAAGCACTTATACCTCTTTGCAAATTGGGTCCTTAGTCTCAAGCTTAGCTTCTAAAATAGTTTTTATATGGTTTACCCTTGAAGCAATTTTAGCCTCCTTCTGATAAAACAGAAATAGATCACCCCAGGCAACCTGCAACTTTGCCACTTGGCACTCTAACTTGTATTTTATACCTAGTTTTCTGTATGTGCAAGAAAACTTGTCAATGCATAAAATTAACATCTTCCACATTATTTTACTTATTTGTAAGATTGTCCCAAGTGCTTGTGCTTTAATTAAAAAATCTAATTTATCTACAAATAAGAAACTATATTTTTGTGTATAAGCTATTTTTGCACAATTGCTTTATCAAAATACACATGAAAGGTGGCTTCAATGGGAAATGTGCATTACCTAAACATGGGCAGACAAGGTTCTTTCGGTAAAAGTGATATCTTTTATTAGACCAACTAAATGGTTGGAAAAATTGTTTTTTGCAAGCTTTTGGGCACAAACACCCTTCTTCAGGCATAGGGAGAGTCTGCTGGTGTTTTGTGTTCTCCTGGATGGAACAGAAGCCAATATGCAAAATGCAGGTCTTTAAAAATGCAGATACGTGGCACTGAGGATCAGAGGCCATGGGAGATGACAATAGGTGTGACAGGTAGGTGGGATGGGGGAAAGGGAAGAATGCTGATCTGGTAGCTAGTAAAATGTAGAGCGGTTACCTCGGGTTACTGGATGGCAGACAGGTTATAATGTGCCATAAATCCAATGTCTATATTTAGTCCTAAAGATTTACCTAAGCATGAACTTTCCTATTTTTAACATCACCACCAAGGACAATAATTTATCTAATAGTCAATGACTAAAGGTCAAATCCTTTTCCATTTATTAAATGTACTAGTAATACTTAGGCATCTAAGTGTGATCCTACTCCACCCTGCTTGAATGCCTGGAAAGTCATTAAACGCATTCAATATTGTTTATCTTGGAATTAAAACAAAGTCACAAAAAGTGTCTGGAAGCAGGAAAAGGAGGGACCCACCCACCTTTTGCATAACTTTTGGTCAAGGAATTGATGATCATACTTAGACATTTCAGTACCATTTCAGTACCTATGAGCTGAAGTAGGCTCTGCCCTAGTATGCTATCATTTAGAATAAAAGGCCTGCACAGTCATCAGCACACCCACTATGTTTGGCTCAACCATCTCCTACCTCTGCATTGTCATCCTCATCTACCCAGAACTCATGATGATGAGGGAATTATAATGTAAATCCTTACTATGCTAAACACACATGTACACATCCAGAGCCGGCCTTAAGGAAAATGGTGCCCTGGGCAAGCTTGTATTTTGACACCACTCCCTGGCACCTCCCACCACAGTGCCTTTTCCTCCCTCCCCCAAGTTAGCAGCACTGCTGCAGGCAGAGGCAGGCAGGCAGGGGCACAGGGTGCAGTCTGGCAGGGAGGTGGAGGAGCATGGTGTGCTAGGCAGGTGAGCATACAGGCACCACTGCTGCTGCCTGCACTGCCTGGCCCAGTTCCTCTTGAGCAGTGGCTGGAGGCAGGGGCCCAACTGGGCTGGGCACTACTCCTCCTGCCTGGGGCAGGTATTGGCCAAGGTATAGAATGGGGGAGAATGCTACTGTGAGCACGGGCTGCTCACACTTGTGTGTGCGTGCGTGTGTGTGATGCTCCCCAAGTGGACCACGGTGCCCACCCCTAAGACCGGCTCTTCAGGGAAGGACTTGACAGAGGTTAGGCAGGCAGCGCACTGAGGCTGATAGCTCTCACATTGTCCAATGCCTTTCTCTGTCTCTATTGCAGCTTGGGTTCAGTTCTCTCCCTTGCCCCTGTTTACCTCCACAGACTAAATGGAATTATACCTGATTTATGCCGATGTGAGGAGAGGCGAAGCATGCTCATAATGGTAGATACTGCACATACTATTTCTGTGAGTATTCCCAAATTCTCAATAGTCACGAACAGAAAAAGAATAATTTCACCTTGAGCTTATGTTCAAAAGGGCTGGTTTTCACAAAGGCAGATCATACAGTAAGCAGGAAAGAATGCATCCTTTTTAATTATTAATTAAGGTGACTTTTGTCCCTTGCACAGGAACATGTTTCTTTTATACAACATGATACCCAAAATGCCTCTGAAAAGCCTACCTGATTCAAATACTAAGAACATACCAAAATAAAATGTGAATTTGTTTACAAAAACATAGCAATCAAAGTAAATCCAAAAGAGCTTTTCTTAAAAAAGAAAGAAAGAAAGAAAGAAAGAAAATCCAGATGCAACCCTTAATTACTGTCAAGACAGTCCACATAGAGTAACCTCTGCAGTACACTGCAGTTCCTGGCCTGTAGGTGGAGAAAGGTCACAACATTTCAGAGAAACATTGAGATATTTAATAATATTTTTAAGGAAAATATATTTCTTTAAAAGGAAATGAAAAGGCTATTTTTCTAGTGGTAAGAATTTCAGGGAAATGAATGCTTATCCATGGCTAGAGACAGGAACAAAACCAAACTACAAAGTTCAGAACTGCATGTAGTACAAGGGCTGCTGACAGAAATAAAATGAAAGGTGCAATGGGAGCTCATGCATGATCCTAATAATCGTGCTTCCTGCAATGCCATGTGCATGGTAGGAGATATGACTGTGCGACTGAGTATCAGATCCCATCACATTGTGTTGCTGGTGCAGAAGGAGCCTGGGATCATGATCCTGCTCCCCACTGCACCAGCAAGCTGGGTTCCCTGTGCTCCCCGTGCTGCAAGCCCTGGTCAGCTGATTGGGGGGTCCCCTGGCTAGAAGTGCTGGTCAGCTGATTGTGGCTCTCAGCCATGGGAGTGCACTTGCCCTTCTGTGGCTGGGAGCCCTGATCAGATGATTGAAGCTTCCAGCCAGGAGACTGTAAAAGGTTTAATGCACTCCCCTGGCTGAGCGCTCCAATCAGCTGATAGGTGGTCCCAGCTGAGGGAGCACAGGGAAAGAAGGGCTTCACGTACTCCTTCAGCTAGGAGCCCTGATCCAGCTGGTGTTCCCAGCCTCTGGAGCACACAAGAGTCTTGAAGGACTCTGGTGTGCTCTGGAGGGTGGAAGTGCAGACCACACATTCGATTAAAGGCGTGATGAGAACTAGGCACAAAGATATTACACATATTTTGTTTAATAACATTTTAGCTCATTTCTAGTTTTATCACACAATTAACTGAATGCATGTATGGCTGGGTCACTACTTAAGGTGCGCTTAACTGGTTAATCATGTCTTAAGTGTAATGTCTGCTGGGGGCCAGTTATTCCCCCAAACTTTAGAAGTATTTGGATCCAAAGTCTTGTGTGTGGTTGTACAAACGAGTGACTGAATCCTTTGTGTTCGACTAAAATCTTAATGAATACCCCCACCTCTTCCTAAAACTGAACACAAATGGATTTGTGTTCAGTTTTTGTGTTCACTGCCCATTTGCTAAGAGCTAGATTTCAAAAGTATTTTTAAGGTGTCTAAAAAGATGCAGATAAGCATCTGATGAGATTTACAAAGTGCTCAAACCACTTAGGTGCCCAAGTCCCATTGGTTTCAATCTGCTTAGGGTAGATTATACTTGATATGTTTGAGAGGACTTAAAACTAATTTGCTGCTCTCAAGATACTCACAGGAAGTCTTTGGTTACAGCTTCTATGCTGATCACTTCCCATTTTCCTTTTGTGATAGGTGTTGCACGCTAAAATAAAGGGAGAACAAAGTGGAAGTGTAAATTCCATGCTGACCAGGAAAAATATCAGTCAGCAGTGACTTCTATGAGTTATTATTATTACTCACCTCTGAGCCATTTATATAATGGATGTGTTTGTAGCCGTCTGAATTGCTGAACACCTTGTAGTAGCTAGCATTGTCAAGCGCAAAGTAAGGGGTAGATGGCTGAAACTGAAACACATGGCACAACTATTAGGGCAAATAACAGAAACCCAAGGACAAATACTAACTCTACTTTAACTAACTTTGTAAATCTCATCATGAAGGCCTTTAACATTTGTTCTGTGCACCTCAGCAAATACACTGCACAATACTTTGTCAATTCAGGGTGTCAAATCAGGGTGTTAAGCATGAGAAACTCGTGGCTGTCATTTGAAAAGTAAATATTCCCAAGTTATTGTTTTGCTGCTCTAGCAACATTTCCCTGTGACCTGCAATGCATGAACTTTCTCCTCCTTTCAGATAAAAGGCCTCCATGCATTACTAATTCTCCTGTCGCTTTAGACAAAATATCTGCCTGTCCCTCCCTCCATCCAGTTTTTAGTGGAGCTTACCATCCAATTGGACAATAGGATTATAGAAAAATAAAGATGAAAGGGACCTCACAAAGTCAGGTAGTCCAGCTCCCTGTTCAATAAGCCAACACAGCTAAGTGCCTGTCCAAACAACTCTTGAAAATGTTCAGGAATGGAGATTGCACAACTTCTCTAGGTAGCCTGTTCCAATGCTTGACCACACTCACAGTCAGAAAGTTCCATCTAATTTCCAATTTAAATTTCTCCCACTGCACCTTGAGGCCCTTACTCCTATCCCATCCCCTTCAGTTACAGAGAAAAAGTCCATCTCCATCCTCTATAATCACTCTTCAGGTATTTGAAGACTGTTATCAAATCCCCTGCCAGTCTTCTCTTCTCCAGACTAACTCTCAGAGTTGTTGGTTGTAGCTGTGTTGGTCTAAGGCAGGGGCAGGCAATTATTTTGGGCAAAGGGCCTCTTACTGAGTTTTGGCAAGCCATCGAGGGCCACATGACAGGCAGCCCAGGGCAGATAAATATTCATTTTCTAAATTGTTTAGGGGCCCCGTGGGCCAGATAGAATGGTCTGGCGGGCTGCATTTTGCCCACCCCTGGTCTAAGGACATAGGCCAACAAGGTTCTTTGGGTAGATGAGATAACTTTTAGACCAAGTAAATAGTTGGAAAAATTCTTCTTTGCAAGCTTTCCGGCACAAACACCCTTCTTCAGGCATTCAGCCAACTCTCTCCAATGCCTAAAAAAGGGTGTTGGTGCCCGAAAGCTTGAAAAGAACAATTTTTTCCCAACTATTTAGTTGGTCTAATAAAAGATATCACATTTAACCAAAGAACTATGTCTGCCAGACTAACTCTGACTCTTTCAGCCTTTCCTCATAAATCATGCATTCCAGGCTTCTAATAATTTTTGTTGCTCTCTGCTGGACTCTTTCCAATCTGTCCATATACTTCTTGAAGTGTGGGGCCCAAATCTGGGTACAGTACTTTAGGTGAGGCCTCACCGGTGCTGAAGAGAGCAATAGAATCACTTCCCTTGATTTGCATGTGATACTCCTGTTAACACAATCCAGTATGCTGTTGGACTTTTGGCACGAGGACACACTGCTGGTTCATATTTAGTTTATGGTTTACTGTAATCCTTCTCTTCAGTACTGGTCATTCCCTCACCTGTGTTTGGGTATATAAACATTCTGTCCTGGGTGAAAGACTTTGTACTTATTCAGTTTCATTTGTTTGGTTATGGACCATTTTTCTAGTCTACCCAGGTTATTCTGGATTTTAGCCCTACCCACCAGAGTAAGATAGAATAGAATACTGTGCATCATTCTAACACAGCTCTGTAAACTGGAGATTAAACATGCCTGAATTTTTTAAATGAATTTTATAACAATTCACTATTATTTTGGTGTTTTATAAATTTTTCAGCTAAACTGAAGATATTTGCTGCAGAGCTTGGATTAGGACTCAAGACTTTTCAGTCCCTGGCCTCACTTCTCCAGTCCATACTACCTCCTCAAGAGATATATTTTTTGCTTAGTATCATGAAAAAATATTTCCTTAGTTTCTCAAAATCCTATTGCAACTTTACTTTACCTAGCTCTGATTTTTTGCCCAACTAGTAAGGACTTAGATTTTGACTAGTTGTCACCTGGAAACTCAAGAGTTTAATGAAGTCCTAAATGACCTTGGATTCATCTAGTTCTTCTCTGCTAGTCAAAAAAGTAACTCTAAGCATTTTAATTAGTGTCCTTTTATTTTTCACTGGCCGAGGACAATGAGAGAAAATATCTTACTGTGGAATCAAAAATACCTCCCTCTCCTCTCTCTTTCACACACATACACATGCATGCATGCCCAGTCTCAGTGTTAATAATTGTCATCTTGACTTTGACCTTTTTAAACAGTTAAGATGTGACATAAAAACCCCCCTCAAACCTGCCAGTTTAATGGCACAAAGTCTCCCATTTTGCCCTCTTGCTTTCCACAACTGTTTACAAAGTTTGCAACTTGATCATCACATTGTCTATTTGTGGAGCCTTTGCTATGTCAAAGCAAAATGTGTCAGAATGAGGGCCTTCCTTTCCACATCAAATCTGACAGCCAGTGGGATGATCTCTCATCTTTGTACTGCGGGTGATTTCATCCCTGCTGTTTCCTCCCTCATTGCATTTTTTAAAACTTTCCTTTTTGACTTCAAAACTAAAGTAGTGACTAAAGCAGATAATGTAAGAAGAATGCAGGTATGTAGAGCATACTCCATGTTCTCACCACAAACTCTGAAACATGCTTCTGTCTCCTGATCTGGTCTTTTGGGTCCATCCTTCACTTCCCCAGATCCTGTATGTAGCTCTTTCGGACTGTCCCCACAAACACAAATGTGTGTTTTCCTGGGGACAATGTGTACAGTTGCTATTTGTCCCTGGGGAACGCCCATGCTATGTTCAACTATGCTGGCCCCAGCAGCCTTACCTGGAGTTCTGGGGGCCTCTGGGAGCTGCAGCTGTGGTGATCCTGCAGCAAGGAGCCTGGCTGGCAGCTGGAGCATGGCTCCAGCTGGCCAGGCTCTGGTTTGCGGCAACTGGTGCTCTGGTTTGGGGCAGCCCAGTTTTTTTTAGGCGCAGGTTTTTTTGCCCCCGGGATTTCCTGGGGGCAATCCCCCTCCCCGCATGCTGCAAATTAGAAGTGCAGGGAACCCCTGCGTGTGCAGTGTGTGTGGCACCACAGATGTGTCTGCAGCACCGCGTGCTACACATCCATGCTTGTTTGGATATGCCCTAGGTGTCTACTGTCTACCACATAGCATTCAGTCCCTCTGAATCCAGAGGGATGCAGACAGTGTTCTGCTTGGCAGAGCCGTGTGAAAAATTTCATCTGGTTTGTTCAAATGTATGCAAAAAAACTCAGCAAGAAACTGTTTCTAAGAGACAGGGAGGTGAGGAGAAACCCACCAAGTTTAGAGTCTCAAACCTTAAACTGGAGTTTTGGACAGCTCCATTGGAGAGCAATTCCATTTTCCATGTGTGCAGTTGATGGTCCAACGTTATGGAATAAGAATTGTTAAAAGGGCAGTACAAAAGTAGGAGTTCAGAAGAGAATGTTATCTTTACATTTCATTATCAATGTGTTACTTAAATGCTGTAATATAGAACCTGAACTCACTCTGCCAATCCAGCCAGTGTTGCTTTCTTGTTCATGCTGTTTTTCCTAAGAAAGAAAGAAAAAGAACCCCTAAACATTATGTTGATCTTCTCTCACAACTAAAAGTACAAACTTGTGGATATATTTTAATTCCCTCCAAATCATTTCTTATCTATCCTTTTCATAAATACAAATTGCCTGATACTTTTGTCCCATTTTTCATACCTCTGGGCACAGCCACATTCCATTGTTTTTTTCAAAGTCACAGACTGTGAGTACAGAATAATTCTGAATCCTTGTGAGCCACTGCAGACAGATCCTTTCATCAGTTACCCATGTCACAACACTCAAATAGTGCTCCCTAGAAATAATGAAAGTTATTATACACTTTAAAGTCTTCTGTATTACTTTACTATAGCACAGCGCCCAAGGGTTCAGTGAATTCTACCAATTCAGGTCTTATATTTTAATTTAATTTGACTTTTCAGTACTGGTCTGCCTTACAATTATTATATTGCATTGCAGTGCTTTATGTTTATGCTTTGACTTATGTTCACTCATACAGTAAGAACTAGACAGAGTCTGTACGTGCCAGTGTCTTACAAATACTGTAGTTGAATATAAACAATGAAAATCAGAACTGTCAATAGTATGTGATAAGACCTACATTGTGCTTCAAAATGGTAAGTCTCTCAGATTTTTCAATTTTACCCCACAATCTCCATAAAGTTCTATGTGAACACAGTGTACAGCAAAGTGGCAAACTGAAATATTGTGAGCTGGTCCTAAACTTTTGCCAAGTACATTCTCTTAACTCAGACTGATGAATCATTGAGACCTTTAATTAGTATGAAAGGCCTGATTGTATAGTTACTTGTATACTAATTGCTTCATCTCCAGAACATCATCCACCCAAGACTACTAATCACAGATAAAAGCTTTCTCCTTTAAGTGTGAACTTTTGATTAACAGGGGCACCTCAGTACATCATAAGAAAGCACATGCAGAACTCAATGGCCGCATCCACATGAGCATGGACATTTGGTTCCCTGGGGACAAGTAGCAGCAGCACACCTTGTGCCACTGCTACTTGTCCCTGGGGAACGCCTACGCCATGAGTTCTCTGGTGCACGGCAGGTTACCTTGGGTGGGATAGGAGAGGCTGGGGCCAGCAACTGTGCTGGCCCCAGCAGCCTTACCCAAGGTCCTG